CTTTTGCTGGGTGACGGCAGCCATTTTGGTCCGCTAGGCCTGAGCTTCTGAAATATTCCACCTGATTTGATTCTCAGGTGCCTGGACAATGAACTGGAGATCCTCGGGGTCACGCCGGGGTTGAGATTCGACCCCTGCACCCCCGGGCACCGCAACCCGGCGGGTGGGGGGGGGGKGGAAAATCAGCTCTCTTTTTTTTTCTGGTTCCCTCCATTGCCCATGTCGAGGAATGCATGGAACTGTTTTTTTTTTTTTTTTTAAATGTTTTCAACTAGGCTACCAGAGTGGCCCGGCATCACTTGCCCGGCCGGGCCAAAAAAAGTATTAAAAAAAATGTATTCTTCAATTTTTATTTTTGTTTGAACAAGTGGACCTGCTGCAGCTACGTTGCGGCGAAGGACGGTGACAAAAACATTTTCCAAAACACCGCAGACATCGGTTGGACGCCTTGTTTGCAATGTACCCCCTCGCGTGACCTCCGTGTGACCTCCTCCTCCCCCTCTTCCGAGGTCCTACCCCTCCTCCCCATCGCGTGACCTCCTCCTCCTCCTCCTTGTGCGACCTCCTCCTCCCCCTTCAGAACGTGAGGGATGCACAGCATTTGGGGGGCCATCGACCAAGGCATCAGCACACTGCTGGATCCTTTGTAAATCAGAACTGTTTTATTGTGGTCGTCGCTGGATTCAAACTCTCATTGGAATTCAACAGTTTCATGTGTGCATCAACTGAGCAGCCTGCTGTGCAAAATGAGAAGGAATAGGAAGATACACTGCGACCGACAGATACATTGAAATGAAATCCTGGTGGGAGTATGGACTAAGGAGCTGTCAGATGCAAATGTTGCCAAGAGAGAGAGAGAGAGAGAGAGAGAGAGAGAGAGAGAGAGAGAGAGAGAGAGAGAGAGAGAGATTTCAATCATAGGATGAGCAAAATGGGAACGAATCTGTCGAACATGGAAATATATGCGGTCACATTTTCGGTCTTTGGCCCGGGCAGTGTATATTTCCATTTTGTGGCTGTGGATACTTCCATGTTCTAGGGGAAAGATTCAAATCCCATTTTGCTCATTTGGTGAAGCGTGGCAATGTCGGCCTGTGTGTGTGTGTATAGGATGAGCAAAATCGGAATGAATCTTCAGGCAGAATAT